GGGCGCCGGCCCGGGCGGCGGCGCGTGCAGCCTGCACCTGAGCGAGCGCGCCGACTGGCAGTACTCGCAGCGCGAGCTGGACGCCGTCGAGGTCTTCTTCTCGCGCACGGCCCGAGACAACCGGCTGGGCTGCATGTTCGTGCGCTGCGCGCCCGCCGGCCGCTACACGCTGCTCTTCTCGCACGGCAACGCCGTGGACCTGGGCCAGATGTGCAGCTTCTACCTGGGCCTGGGCTCCCGCATCAACTGCAACATCTTCTCCTACGACTACTCGGGCTACGGCGTCAGCTCGGGCCGGCCCTCGGAGAAGAACCTGTACGCGGACATCGACGCCGCCTGGCAGGCGCTGCGCACCCGGTGAGCCCCGCCGCCGGCAGGAGACTCGCATTCGGCCGTGGGGGGCCGCCCCGGCGTGGGTCTGTGCCTCTGTCGCCCCGTGGCAGCGTGGGGGGCTCCGCGGGGCGGGAAGAAGACCCAGTCGGCGGGGCTGTCACTGAGGTCCCGGTGACCTTGGGTGAGGAGCGGGGTCTCTGGCCTCTCCCAGCTGCAGGGAGGACCCCCAGGACCTCCGGGGTGCGCGGTGCCTGGGACCTCCAGGGCAGCCAGGGGCAGTGGGGCCGGGGGCGCTGCGGGGCGGCCGGGCAGCAGCGGGGCTGGGCCTGAGGTTGCGCGGCAGGCTCGCGGCCCTGGACGGCGCTGGGACACCCTCGCCGGCACCTGGGGCTCCCCTGGGGCCGGACCTGGCTGCAGGCCAGCCGGGGCAGTTCTGCCCCGTCGCAGGAGGGCGGTGGCCTGTGCCCTGCGCCCCACGGCCTCGCGCAGGACGCTCGGCCAGAGAGCGGCATTTGCTGCGGCGTGGACAGAGCCCGGCCGGCCCATGCGGCTGGTGTGTCCCCACGCACGGACGCGTCCCGCCTGCCTGGTTCAGGCCGGGCGGGCCTGCCGGGCCCTCCGGGGCCGCGTCCTCCAAGGGGAGGCTCCTGGGACAGGTCAGGAGGCCACAGCGCCTCAGGTGCAGCTGCCCACGTCCGGTCCTCCGCCCTCAGCAGCCCCGGCTCAGGAAGGGGTTACCCGCGTGGCTCCTGCCACCCCCCGCCGGACATCAGGGCCTCCCAGGCGGCCTGCCGGGCTCCCTCGCCACTGGATGCCCCCACCGCTGGACGTGGCATCCACAGTGCGCTAGAGCCGAGGCGGGCCCGGAGCCTCGCGAGTGGCACTGGGGACATTTCGGGCCAAGCTGCGTCTTGGTCACCTGAGGCCCAGCGCCCGGCCTGGCTTGCTCGGCGGCCTGGACGCCCATCTGCCGGCCGCGGGGCGTGGGTCTGCGTGGCCAAGGGCCGTGCTGCCTTACGGGGTGACCAGTGGGGCGAGTCGCTGTTGGCGCCTGACCCGCCTCCCCCGCTGTCTGACCTTCCCTTTGGTCATCGCCGGGGAGGGCCTTGGGCACCTCCAGAAGTGGCGCCCCACAGCGAGTGAGGACGAGGGCGCCAGGACAGGCTGCGGCGCGGTGGGGGGCTGGGGGGCGGGGCTGCGGCTGGGGGCTCCTGGCCGAGCGGCTGGCCCCCTGCGGCCTCTGCGCGACACCCCGCCGTGGGCAGAGGCACTGTGGCTCGGCACAGTCTCTTCGGTTACTCAGGTGTCCTCTGCGGTGCCTGGCCATCCCCACAGGTGTGGCTCACTGCCCCAGAGCCCCCCCAGAGCGTGGCCAAACGTGGAGACAGATCAGATGTCAC